CTATGTAAAATATTTAACATTAATCATGAGTCAAATATTTATTTTTGTTTGGTTACTATTTTATAGGATTTCCTCTACCGTCCATCCACCCTCTACTACAAAAAGGTTTCATAACATTTAACAAGAGTTGTTTGCAAATCTTTTGAATTTTATATACGTAGGAATATATGCAGGGCAGAAAGTAAATAAATAGAGCATTGCGACTGTTACAAGACATCATCAACAGCAACAAGGTGATAACATCTAACAGGCACATTTTGATTGAATGTAAACCTAAAAATACATATTGAAAAGTTTTTTTCACATCTATAATGATAACATCCTTCACATACAATGATTCATGTTGAGGCAGTAAGTATTTTGATATATCTCATTGTTCATTGATGCCCTGGCTTTTGCAGCAACTCCACCATCGTTCCACCACCCAGTCCTACAACAAATCACAGGTATTCCTAATGATAGCAAGCTTTACACTCATGACAATTCATACAGCTGCAACACTGTTGCAACTATTTTGTTATTGATAATAGGCAGCAAAGATTATGTTGATTGATTCTTTGGCTTTTGCAGAATCTCATCCACCATCATTCCACCACCTCCTGGAACGACGGACGACAGGTATTCTTAAATTAAATGAGCATCTTATGTGTCAAAGACTGATGCACACTTGGTGTGATGGATTTAATATGTTTTAATTACTATGTAAAATATGTGCTGTTGATTTAATATAAAAAAAAATTTAAAATTGGAATCAAAACAAAGATTGTTCAACAGCACTTTAAAAAAATAATAATAATTTTCTTCATACTAAACAAAATCTTAACAGCTGACCATGATGCATGTTTTCTTTACCTAAAATAACATGGAACCCTATAATTTTATTTTTAATTTATTTTAGAAGATTCTGGTATATTTAGAAACTACACATAATTGTTTTATTTCTGTCTGAACTAGAAATAAATTCAATGAGACAATTACATTATTAGTGTTTTGTAAGGAATAAGGTTATTTTTTTCAGTTTTGCACTTAAACTATGGTTTTGATTTTATAGGACTTTAACTACCGTCCATCCACCTACAGACAACAGGTATTGCACTTTAATGAGAATTTTTTGCACAGTCTTTAAACCTTAGATGAGTCTATCTTCAGAAAATAACATGACGATTCATTATTGATTCATTGTGTAGCAACTAGTATTTTACTACAAATAAGGCTGCAAAAATTATGTTTTCCTATGATGATTTGGCTTTTATAGAATTAATTAATATTCTTTCATTGCTTTGTAAATCATGATTTTATTGCTTTGATTTCTGGTGGTAAATAGAATATTCACCTGCTGTCAACCACCATTAATCGTCCTCTTAAAAGATGTTACAACTTTTACCCTTTTATTATCTATCATAGAAAAGAAAGTCTAAGTCAAAAAATTACATTGTGCAATCTTTCCAGAATCTTCCCCTCCAACACTCCACCACCTGCTACGACAGAAGATGACAGGTATCCCTAAATTAAATGAGCATCTTATTTGTCAGACTTAGATATTTACACTCTATCTGCATAACTTGCCATACAAATCTGTTATGCAGTTTTTCTAAAAGTTTTCTGAAAGTAAGTCACAATTTTGCAGACATTTTAAAAGTATTAGCAATAACAGCCTCTATTTTAACTTTAACTCACCATAAACCACACGTTTCTTTCAATCCTCTTGTGTCAATTCAAATTGCTACATTTAATCTTTAATGCCAAGCAGGTTTTTTTTTCACTTTGATGGCTTCTTCCAACAGAGCCTTTTCTGAAGTTTTATGCAGACATTGTGTTATTGGTTTCTGAGATTCTATGACATGTTTGTAGTCAAGACAAGTCCTTCAGAAGGCTTAGCAAAAAAAGTCTGACTTCCACAGGCCATGCATGTGTGATGGACTTATTATATAAAACCTAATAAACTCTTTTTGACATCCACATAAAATGTTACTTGCGGCAAAAACACCTTGAATATTCTGCTGCCTTGATAAAACAGGTAATGGTACTGCTAAGTTTCAAGACCTTTTTACACTCCTAATTTGATGACTAAATCATATTACTGGCTTTATTGAACTTGATACAGGATGACTGAATTGATATATATTCTCAGGATGTTTTTCTTTCTCTTGTAGCATTTTTTGCTTCTGCCCTGGTATCGTTGCCTCTCCCATCCTTACTGTCCTGCTGGCGTTGATCCTTCTGCTGTCATAATGTACACCTCTCATATAAATTTTCTGTCTGCATAGGCAGCACAATAATTAGAGATGTCTCCCAGCAATGCATATATGTTACAATGACAGTGTAAGTTGACATTTTGTCCTAAAAATGTGAGTTCATTATGCAAAAACAAACTGGGAAGATATGTATTGCTTTAGGAAATCAATGCCTGAACTTGTGGCTCGTATTCAACAATATTTGGTGATGGGACTCTATTTTTATTCAGTATGCATCTGCAGAGCATTGTATGGTACTGCTGAAGCTTGACTGAAGCAAAGTTTTGTTTTTACAAGAGAAAACCTTATTCAAAGTGCTTGAATTTCTGAATCAAACCCATAATATTCTTTTTGAAGATGATTCTGTTCTGCACAAACATTTAACCACATGCTAATCTAGTTCAAAATATGTGCTTGGTGACTTAATGGCAAAAACATTTTTAGCCATGTATGTATGACCTACTGCTTTGCACTAAGTTTGAGACAATAAATAAGTATAATGAATAAAAATCCACCATAACTTGTTATATCTTACATTTTTGTCATACAAATCTGAGATTTTATTGTCCCACTACACATAATAAAATCTAATAAATTGGTTAACAGGAACAAATATAGGGAAAACTGATTCACATTTATAATGTACAGTGGATTGACTGTTTATAATGAATGAAACTTTCTTCAAGAGTTGCATGGAAGTGCCTCTACACTAAAATAACAAGCCTATGGCTTTCAGTAGAAATGGCTTTTGGTCTTTAGCCAAAGATCCTGCTGAAAATCTATTTTTATGTGCCTTTTATGAAGAAGGAAGTTGCAGTCAGAGACTTCTTGAGAAGCTTTCGCATTGTTTGCTTGAGTGTTTTTTGGTGCAGTGCCAGCACAAGCAAACATGATTGAAACAGGTTTTTCAAAGGGTTTGCTATGTTTGACACAAAGCAGCGTGAAAACCCCACCAGCTGAAAATGTCACAAATGTTGTCATTTTTCTCCCCAATCAAACCGAGTGTGAAAACACACAAAAATTTGGAAGTATGAATCATTTAATTCACATTGTCAAAAAGTCTGGTGTCATCTATTTAAAAGAAAACCCAAAGTGTGATGGTGTCGCCCCACCACATCTCTGTGGATGTTCTTTTGTTGATGTGCTGTTAATTTTGTAGCAAATCTACCAGTTGAAATTATGGCCTAAAAGTGTCACTTTGATTTTGTGAGATGATAAGAATTACTCCCACAAGATTTTATAGGCTTTTGGCAGACTTGGATGTTGTATCTGGATAAAATAATTTTGTGCAAGCCCGATTGAGTTCTATCCACAGAAATAAAAATAACAACTAGTGACTACTGACTTGAAGGGAGTAGATTCTTATGTAATTATGTATTTTAGGGTAAATATGATTTAATTTTCAGTATTTTGTACAAATCTGCTTTCAAAATTATGTGAAAATGACTTTTTGTAATTATTTTTTTGTCACAAAAGTCCAATTTTGTTGATCATGATTGATTTGTAAGAGCGATCAAAAGGGGAAAATACTCAAAGGGGATTAATACTTTTTATAGGCACTGTACAGCAATATAGAGCCAACTCAGAATGAACAGAATGACATTCCAACTGTGCTAGTTTCATGCCAGTGGAAGGAACAAGAAACAAAAGTTGAATACCACAGGTTTAAAAATATAAAATTTGCATACAAGTCTGGCTACTATGTAATTTATCATACTGTGGTGAGTCAGACTGTAATCATCCCCAAAATCATCCCCAAAATTCACCCCCCTTTGTTTTAGCCAGTTAATTAAATGCAGAGGATTGTGGACAAACAGGTTCAAGCGGAAAGGGAATGTACCAGGAAGTGATTAATGTCTCATCTCTCCTTTTCTTTTACGACTTTTGACTTCAGTGGTCGTCCCAAACATAACACATCAGAAAACGCTGAAGATAAACATGCCTGGTAGAGTGTGATATTTGTTTTTCATTGGACATTCACAGAAATGCAAGCCTAATGCAATTCATTCCATCACAATAAAGGTTTTTTTTTTTAATTATTATTGTGATCTCCTTGGTTGCATATCAGTCCTCACACTCTGTCTAATGTAATACAAACTTGGACTGTAAATTATTGTTGTTGTTGTTTATAAAGTAAATCAACTCTGGTTAACAATCAATAGCTACTTTTAAAAGAGCTTTGAGTAATTGTATAGTATAAACTGTTTTGTAAGTATCATTTGATTAGGAATTTTAGATATTTTTAGATATTATTTACTTATTAATAGCTATTAATTAGCCAATAATGTTCAAACCATTAGGAGGAAAGAGAATTTAGGTGACGGTGAAGGTGGCATTGGTCCCAGATAGAATTTTAGAAGATCATCTCTCATATGTACAGCAAAAGATACACAAAAAGGAGAAAATATCCAGTGACTGCCAGGTGTTTGGTCAAAAATGCCTTGCTGATGTCACAGAAGAAAGGGTTTGCTGGCTTTGGCAGATGGAAAAGCAGCAAAGGTATCTAGAAGACACATAAATCCAGAAAACATGTCCTGTGTTGTCTTATGACTTGATCCTTATATTTGTCAAACAATTATAACTAGTCAGTGTATCATATATTTTGCATATTTTCTTTATGGTAAACAATATACATTTTCTATTTTAAGTGAGTATGTCAGTACCTCTTCAAAACCCAACAGGAAATAATGTGTGACAGCTATAAAAGAAGAAGGCCTGCTGACAACAACAAGATCAACCTCAAAGCAAAGCCTTTCAGTGTGACGTTGACGCTTTGAAATGATCCAACCTGTTTTGTAACAGAGTGAGATTTTAAAAGTCCTTCCTGTTTCTTTGGCATCTCAGTTGAACAGCTTCTGAAAGTCTTCATACAGGTAGAAAATTAATTACTGTAAAATTTTTGGAATCTAGTGAAAGTCAAGCATGTTCACTGAATTAAGGTATTTTAACATTTAATTTAATCTAATGTGTTTTCTGTGAAGCTTGGAGTTAGATTTTATCCAAAAAGCCAACATGAAGATGAAAGGCTGCATTTTTCTTTTGGTGCACCTTGCACTTTCTTCAGGACTCTCCATCTCCACAGTAAGTATATTTTTGCATAAACTACAGTTTAAATGTCAACTGCTTTGATATTAGGAAATAATGATAATTTTGCTGTTTTATATAATAGTCAAAACCTTAAGAAAAATGATAAAAATCTGGTGGCAGTGACTGTAATAATTCAATCCATTTGCATTTTCCAGCTGTGTTCTTATATGTATACTGATACTTGTCTATTAACTGTTTAGTTTTATATAATAAAAAAAAATCATTTTTGTATTTTTACTTGTTTAATTTTATAGTTTTAACCATCTTTAATAATTTTGTGCATTAATTGTTGTTCATCCTTGTGTAAGTACATAAGTAAAATTTATTGATATAGCACCTGTCACAGACATTAAAATCACAAAGTGCTTCACAAAGATGCAACCATAAGATAAAGAATAAAAAACATGATATAAAAGGTAGCAACACAATTAAATACTGTTGGTATAACAATGATTTTAGCTGTTTCTTTAAAAGGTCAGAGGAGTTCATGCAGTGCAGGAACAGCAGTAGATATTTCAAGGGCCACAATGGGGCCACACCCTGAAAAGACCAATCTTGGCTTTTCCAGCCACATATCATCATTACATAGCACAATGATGACTAAATCATATTAACTTTTAAAGTTGTTATAAAAATGTTGTATACATCTAATATGACTTAAAAGAAATCTGACCCTATAATTCAATACCTTCAAATTGTGCCTCTGTCTCTTTAAAAGTTCCTGCTCTATCAGAAGGCAGTTCTGATACTCCCTTACTCTAAAAATACCCTTATGTTATGAGGCTGTGAGCGCAAGGTTGTTTGTCCTGTATGTGCCTGTATTGCTACCACTGCTGGTACAAAGCATTGTGGGACATCTTGCTGGCCAATCCCTACAGTCACACATAAATCAGTGTCTTAAAAAAATAATTACTATCACAAAAGTGTTTTTTTGTGTGTGTGTGGATTAACTTAAATAAATACTTAATTTATTTTCTGAAAAAAATTACAATGTCTTGCACCCTGAACAAATATTTTTGACCTCAATATTACATAGGTGTGAAGATACTAACTTAAATATTTATTCATGATTTCACAAATTTAGCTATGTCAAATTTACTTCACCACAGAATAATTGTTTTTTAATGTAGGAACATCCAGGTACAGACGTTATACCTGCATAACATTTAGAAAAACAAAACCTTTTGTCTTCTTAGTTTGATTTTTAAATGATCTAGCGTTTACCATGTTGTAAAATTAGAGTCTGAACCTTTTAAACCTAGAAATATATTCAAGATACAGTAACACCTGAAACAATATAAATTTTGTTTTATCTTGTTTGTCCATATGTTGCAATACCGTTCTCATTTTAATTCTTTTTGACTCCAGTTAGATGGAGAAATATTCGGTAAGTTTCATGCATTTTCTTTATACTACTCTGGATTTCACTATTGATTTTAAGTTTGTTTTATTTTTTATGGTAAAATGAATTTATGAAAAGCCTGTTTGTGTTTTAGAGGTTGAAAACAACACAACTAAAGAAGGTAAAGTGACTTTTCTCAACTTTTTATAAAAGCTTTTCTGAGATGTGTCTATGAATTGCTGTCCAACTCTCTGTTAAAATAACTAACATTGCTCCCTGATCTTAGATTTGACTCTTGACGACATCCGCGAGGTATGTTTTGGTATTACTATAAACGACTAACTGCAGTTTTTAGTACAGCATTTATGTAGGCATGTTGTCTTCTATTTTTATGCCCACATTCTTCTTTGTTAGCCTCCAAAGTTTCAAAGGAGCAGCCTTCTTCCTGGAGATAAACTATGGTCATCCCCAGTTCCTTATGTCTTGGATAAAGGCCTGGGTGAATATTAGTTTTCTTTTATAGAAGACAATCTATACTCTGGGTAGTGTCTGTGTTTGCATGTGCAGCATCTGTGTAAAGGCGTCTACTTTTAAGTTTAATTTAGGTCTTCTCTTTATATTAAACTTGACTTCAGTTAGTTTTGGTTGTAAAGACATTAACCAAACAATTAAATTCCAACCCTTAAATTGATCAGTTTACACTGAGGGATGTTTGGGAGGGAGCAGGATATTGAAAAAAGCATTAAAGCAGTTCTGGAAAATATAAAATACTGCTTATGACAAACAGAGAAGGAATCAGATTCTATACAACCCATATAAATTGTCCCTGTTGGTTAGTTAATGTTAAAACATTGATCTGGATAAAATTTGATAATTAAAGTTGGAGATGGAGATTTAGTCCAAATGATCTAGCTGGCAAACTATGAGCATGAATTAATTTATTTTAAGTTGACTGGACTGGATTTAGATACAGTTCATGTAAAGGATGAACTGACACAATAATGGAAGCACTGGTCTAGTATTTGTTTTCTTTTTTTGGTTTGTTTTGAATTAATATTCTTGGTATTTATCGTTGTGTAATGTAACAGAAATGCGATATTACTTATTATCTAAAACATAATTACGTGTGTGTTCTTTGTTCTCAACCATTTTGAAATTCCTCGTGAAAGATTTGAGAGCTAAAGGAGTGATCATGAGAGCCTTTGAGCAGTTCAGAGTGAAGTCATGCATTGATTTCAAACCCCGGGACTCAGAAGATTATTACATCAACATCCAGAAGTTAGACGGGTAATTTATTTTTATCTTTGCTTTCTTATTTCGCATACTTTCAACTAAACTTGTTAAATTTTCCTTTGCATGTAATTGAAACTCGAGCCTTGTACATTAGTGCAGCAGTTCAGTGTACAATAAAGTTTGGCCTGCCTGTCAGATTTCTTCATGTTTTCTTGAGTGTCTTTCGCCTCTTGTCAATATGACATTGTAGGTTAGACATAAAAAATAATACGTGAATTTTTGTGTTATTAGTTTAAACAAACTGTGTCTGTATTTTTTAAATTTATTGTTATATTGAGAGCAAGATTCATCTGAACAAATTGCTTGTGATTTTACGTCTCAACAAAACCTGGATAACGCCTTTCTCCCTTACAGTTGCTGGTCATATATTGGTCGAGTACTCTCCAATGGACAGAACCTCTCTATTGGTGCAGGCTGTGACAGCATTGCCATTGTTGAACATGAGCTTCTTCATGCTCTTGGTTTCTACCATGAACAGTCTAGATATGACAGAGATGATTATGTACGGATTGTACTCGCCAACATCCAAACAGGTAGAACACAGACTTTTTTGTGTTTTTTAGTCTGTTAAAATCTCTGATGAATTTAAGTAAGTTTTTCTCAGTGCAAAAATGTGTATTTTTTTGTCATCTAGGTAAAGAGAGGAATTTCATGAAAGTTGGCTGTAATGAGAGCACCATACACCATAGTATTTTTAAAGTGTAGCATGTTTTGTGTCACCCAGGTCAAGAGGATAATTTTAGAAGGCTAGCAGTGAGGAGAGCACTACATATGGAGTCCCATATGACTACATGTCAGTGATGCACTATGACAAATATGCATTCACAAATGGCAACGGCTTAACAATTATTACCATTGACCCTAAATACCAAGATGTGATTGGTCAAAGGCTGGAAATGAGTCCTAGTGATGCTCTAGAGCTGAACTTCCGCTACAACTGCAGTAAGTCTTAAAACACTGTTAAACCTGCTATAAATTGATTGTTTAAATTGCTGTGGTCAAATTATAATTTCTGTCATAACTTCTGTACTTTTTGACAAGCTGCTATGTTTAACATTTGACTTTTGTTTGTATTTTTATCATATTTCTATGTCAAAACCAAAGGGTGCAGTAAATTCATCTTCCCTGTATAATAAGCTACAAGTGAAATCTCAATAAATATGAATATCATCATATATACTGCTCAAAAAAATAAAGGGAACACTCAAATAACACATCCTAGATCTGAATGAATGAAATATTCTCAATGAATACTTTGTCCTGTACAAAGTTGAATGTGCTGACAACAAAATCACACAAAAATCATCAATGGAAATCAAATTCATTGAATGAATGAAATATGAGAATATTTCATTCATATATATATATATATGTGTGTGTGTGTGTGTGTGTGTGTGTGTGTGTGTGTGTGTGTGTGTGTGTGTGTGTGTGTGTGTGTGTGTGTGTGTGTGTGTGTGTGTGTGTGTGTGTGTGTGTGTGTGTAGGGGTGCGTGTGTGCGTGCGTGTGTGTGTATAAGATTAGCCTAGTCTTGCATTTAAATATTAGCTAAAAATCAAAATACATTGTAAATAATATTATATTCTGCTTTTTTGCCATCTTAGACTCAACTGTTGCCTTTAATTCTTACTGTGGCTTTTCGAATGGAACAATGTGTCAAATGAGCCGCTGCTCACAGGGTGGGATTGGCTGGGAAGTCGTTACTCAAGTTCATGGAGGCCCCAGTTCTGACCACACCAGTCTACCAAGTGGAAATGGAGATAATGGTGAGATTTGTGCCTTGTATATTATGACTATTTGTCTCTTATGCCTTTGAAGAGCAATGGAAAGCAGATAAATCCTTATCCAATGATATATCTTTTAACTGTAGGTTATTTTTGATTAATTACTTTTTCAGTTGTGTATATATATACTAACAATTGTCTAAAACGCTATCTAAAATGCTGCTCAGGAGCAATGGAGAGGTTTTTTTTTTTTCTTTTTAAGTCTTGCTACCGCAGTAGAAGTGACATGTCACTTCTCGCACAGTGTCAGCCATCAATTTATTTCAGTGACTCTGTGTATAAAGTGAGATAAATCTGTCTGCAGATCAGCTGTTTTTTTTCTACCACACCGAGTTATGCATATCCTAAATGTTTCTCATTTTACTGAAATAGTGAAACAAACAGCACAATATATTAAACACTGCCTTTGCATAGATTATAATTATTTGGCTTTCATGGTGTTTTGTGCAAAGGTGAGTCTTGTAATCTTTGGAAACTATTGTCAATAATTAAACGCTGCCCTTCTTATTGTAGAATTTGCAGGTTTGTCAGTAATATACACACACCAAAGTCTTGTCCAGTAGATATTTTTAGACAATCATCATAAAAAAGTTATTTTAGAAAATTAGTTTCAAATGTTTCTTCTTCTTCTTCTTCTTCTTCTTCTTCTTATTATTATTATTATTATTATTATTATTATTATTATTATTATTATTATTATTATTATTATTGTTGTTGTTGTTGTTGTTATTATTATTTAGAGCAATAATATTGGAAAAAAACATTTGTCATGTTTATTCAACATAAAAAAACAACAAATTGACAATTTTTTCTGTTTTGGACTAGATTTCAATATTACTTTAAAAAAAACAAATTTCTAAATCATCTTTGAGAAAACAATTGTTTCAGAAATAATACAATGAAGACCATTTTCAACTAAAAACAAACAATCTGTCTTTAAGAATCATAAAGATGGAATACTAAAGGAAGATTATTTTGTGTTCTACTGGCTTTACTGAAAATTTTGTGATTTTTACCATGGTTATGCAAACATAATTTCTGCCTGATCATATAAAAATATATTGAGTTGTCTATGATTATCAAATACATGAAGGTGATTAATGAGAAACATTATCTTGATCAATGTATTTAAAGCTAAAGAAACTGGATACTTCATTCATGTGAGCACAACATCAGGACAAGAGGGAGATTCAGCCCAACTGGAAACTGAAAGAGTGAAGCCTACCAGGGCATGTAATGTCCAGTGTCTGCAGTTCTACTATTTCCACAGCGGAAATGAATCAGATGAACTTAATATCTGGATCAGAGAGTTTCAAAATGAGCAGGACATCACAGGAACTCTTCGCCTTATGGGACAAATAACTGGTAAAGTCAGACTTAAAATAAAAAATCTTAAGTCTTTGCTTTCTACTATTGTATGTTGTAATATTAAAATTTTGTAGCACAGTAAATTAAAACCTCTTACTCTAGGTTCACCAACATCTCACTGGAAACTCCACCATGTTTCCTTGAATGCCACCAAGGACTTCCAGGTGGTGTTTGAGGTTCGGAAAGGAGCAGGAAACTCACCAGGAGGTTTCTCAATTGATGACATCAATCTCTCAGAGACAGAGTGTCCACACTTTGCCTGGCAGATTGATGACTTTGAGAGTCTTTTAAACACAAGCAGTGATGGAGCCAGAATGTACAGCCCACGACAATTCTCCAAAGACGGCTATGCATACCGTGTAATTGCTGAACTTTTCAAAACATCTGTTGGAATGTACGTGCAGCTCGTGTCTAGTGAGAATGATGGCCAGCTGCAATATCCTTGTCTGCAAAGACATATGATTTTCCAGTTGATGGATCAAACCCCAAACAAGCAACTGCAAATGTCTAAGCAAAATACTTTTGTTTCTGATGAAAATCAAGTAGTATCTGGTAAGTTTATCTTAAAATGTTTGTATTTTGAAGACAAGTTGTTGGTAAAAAACTAAAGCGTATTCTCATGTATTGTGTGTCATGTAAACAGGTCGCTCTGCCTGGGACAATCCTAGGGAGACTAAAGATGGATCATTTTCTGAGAATGGAGAACTAATCTATAATGGGCCTGGCTGGGGGTTTGGGTCTTTTTTAACATTAGAAGAATTGAAATCCAGAGAGTTCCTCAAGGGAGGAAGCGTCATTTTGATGTTCAACTTTGAAGGTAGGTGAAATGTTTTGATTAAAATAATTTTGTAAACTACAGATAATGTCACAAGAATATCTTTCTCATTTACAATTTTTTGGGGACACAAAGAACCAAGGAATCCTTGACGTCTGATATATAATTTTATATTTTTACCCTCACAAAAAACATGTTTACTGTCATTCAGACCAGCTGTTTTGAAAAGACTGAAAATCACAGTTAATTATACATTACATTACGTAAATTGTGTTACTTGTTAACTTCAAATTAACATTATGTAACATTTTGCATTTTGACTCTATAGTTTGTATTTTGTTGTTCACAAGGTGGGAGTGGAGGAAAGAACTTGTAGACGGAAAGTTCTAATTATTCCAACTTCGTCAGGCAGTATTTGTTTTTTCTAACTGATCGTTTTGTCCTTTGATAGATCTCACCCCACTAATCAATGGAACAGCTTTACCATGTCCTCAGTTAAGACCAGTGAACATAACAAATCCTCCACCAAATAGGAATGAAAGTCCATGCTCTGCACGGTAAAACAAATTGCCGAGTAAATTATAACTTCATTCTGACAAGTTTGCATTTCCAGACAAAGCTCTAAAATAAAATGATTTAGAAATACAGACAGATTTCAGTTTTTTCTCTGACTTTTATAGAGTCATCAACCCACCTTCTACAACAGCAGAACACAGGTATTCACACATTTGATTACACTTTATTTTTTCTAATCAAGCAATATATCCAGTGTAAACTAAGATGTGTTATTTTTTTCCCATTTCTGTGGTGAATAATTTGCTTAATTCCTATCATTGTTTAATTAAATTAATTTAAATTATGTTTTTGATTATTGCTGTTGAATCAGTGCTGTAACATTGAACAGTAGGCTTTGATGAACTCATCATAATATGTGCATTTGACCAATGTAAAGTTCATTTTCTCTGTGAAGCAAAGTTGCCAGCATCATCCATGAGTCATACATTTATTTTTGTTTGTACCTAAATGTTTGATTATAATTTTACAGGACTTCATCGACTGTCCATCCACCTCCCACTACAGACAACAGGTATTTCCAGTTTGTTGAGAGTTGTTTGGACATTTCTTCATGCTTTCCAGATGAATCTATTTGCAAAGCATTAGGAAAATAAACCATTGCTAATATTATCAAGAGTCCAGAGTTATTGCAAACTCAGAGGCCTTGACTCATCTTGCATTTCATGACCATCTTGCAAATAAAAAATCAGTTTATGTGGTAGATAATGTGATTGGCACTTTTCCTTTCATCTAATTAAAAAAAAACAAAAAACGCTATGCTTACTCAATCACATTGAGTGTGTGATTGAACCCATAAATGTCTAGCCAGAACTGAGTAACTTTATCCTTCTCAAAATATGTCCACCACCAAATACACCAACAATTAGTTTTAATACAATCTTTCAATTTATAATGTCTAATTTTGTAGTTAAAAAAAACATAGAGGCATCTTATATGCCATGAATTGACACAGTTAAAACCTTATTTGTTCAAAATATTAGACTATAAAAATCAGAATCAAATTGATTACAATAGGTCTGAATATGGCATGCCCGTATTTTATTTATTTACTTTCTGAATCACAGTTTTGATAGATATACAGAGGCTCTCCTGATTCACAATGTAGTCCTGGTGCCCAGTTCTTGCATTGTTTGCATTTTATGTGAAAAAAATCTTTCCCATACATAATTTACTAAATGTTCAGCTTTAAATAAAACTTTCAAATTTTTTACTGAATAAAATATATTAGACATGATTGTGATTATCTGATTATGTGTAATTATCTGTAAACCAAACAATAGGTTTTAAAAAGTTTTATGAGATCATCTATGGTTCACAGCTTCAATGATAATTTACTTTAAACACATGACAATTGATGTAGCTATATGAGTCAGATTTTTTTTTTTCTGCAGAACCTGGTCCACCATTATTCTACCTATTATTCCACCATCTCCCACAATAACAGACAACAGGAATTCTCACATGTTACTGATCATCATATTTGTTGAAACAGAAGATAGAATGGGTGTAATGGGTTGTCCATGTTTTTAATTATTCTGTAAATAATGTTTATTGCTTTCTTTTTTGCTGGTATATTTTCAGATTTTTATTAGTTCTCACTAGTTTCCACCTCTAACCAGAAATGGCAGCTGTTTTACCTTCATTTTTGTTGTAGAAATAAAAAATTAATAAATAAAATATTACTTGTGAAGCATTGATCAGAACTGAAATTTCTTACTTTTTAATCAAAGTATAAATTTAGTTATCTAAGCCAGTTGTTCTTAAAGAAAATATTATGCAAAATCAACTTTTTTCAGCTTTATAGTTATAATATACACATAAATATGCATTTTGCTTTAAATATGTTATTATAATTTTACAGGACTACATCTACCATCCATCCACTTCCAACTACAGACAGGTATTGGCATATCTGATGCCTATTGATTTTATATTTCTCAACCTTTTGATACCTTTATACTGTAAGTAAAGTATAATGGAAACATAAGTATTGCCACTGTTACAATATTGGGTAAAATTTAAAACCAACACAGTTCATGCCTCCAGGAACCTGGAATCTCTGAACGCAGCAAAGTATCGAACAGGGGGCTGTTTTTACCAGGCTAGGGACTTTCCAATGTTCAAGCAACAGTATTCTTAAAATAAACTTTTGAATTTGAAGACACTAAAGGTTATTCTGGCATTTTTTGTTTCTGTCTCAGAAACAAAAAATTTGGTCTGATTCAATGACAAAGTGACATTTTAAGAGCTTTGTAAGGTATATAACGTCAATAATGAGTCAGGTATTTATTTTTGTTTTGTACCTAAATGTTTGGATATAATTTTACAGGCCTTCATCTACTGTCCATCCACCTCCCACTACAGACAACAGGTAGTACCCCATAGTTTGAAATTTCCAATATCTCCATATGCAGAGATTAATTGAAATAAAGCATTGCAACTCTTACAAGGCATAACTAACACAAATCCCTGAAAAGGACTTGATGAGTAAAAATATTACCAAGAAGTGGGTCTAATTAAATTACACACTAATCTTTACACACATGACAATTCATAAACCTACAAGTATTTTGCTTAATAGGCTGCAAAAATTGTATTGTACATTGTTTCTTTTGCAGAATTTCCTAAAGTTAGGTTTAGGGCTAAGCCTAATACTGATCTTAGAATATATTTTTAATGACTCTTTGACTTTTCCAGAATTTTATCCACCGTCGTTCCTCCACTTGATACAACAACAACAGATGACAGGTATTCAAATTTAATGACCACTTTATTTGTCAAAGCCTACTAAATGTATTCTTAAGTATTTAGTAATATAAAATATTACTAAATATTAAATACTAAATTGGATATAATTTTGCAGGACTTCATCTGCCATCCGTCCACCTCCCACTACAGACAGAAGGTATTGTCACATTTGATGCTATCAGTTCAAACTTCCCTTGACCCTATTCTTTCATTACTTTATTTAAATAAGTGCATGACTTCTGTTAATCCAATTTTGTCGCAAATTCTCACCCACCACCAATCCACTTCTTACAAGATGTGACACATATTTTACCATTTTTAAAATATATTAACTTATTTTTCATGGGAGCAACATTATGAAACTAAACATAGAAGCTGGAATTTTTCTGTGTTAAAGGGACAGTATTCTTAATATCTGTAAACTTTTGAATTTGAAGACACTACTGTCAACATTTTCTGAAAGGTAAAACTTCTCTGTATTCTGGCATTTGCCAATAATAAAAAATAATTACAACTGTCTCAGAAACATAAAATTTGGTCTGATTCAATGAGAAAGTGACATTTTAAGAACTATGTAAGGTATGTAACATCAGTAATGAGTCAGGTATTTATTTTTGTTTTGTACCTAAATGTTTGGATATAATTTTACAGGCCTTCATCTACTGTCCATCCACCTCCCACTACAGACAACAGGTAGTACCCCATAGTTTGAAATTTCCAATATCTCCATATGCAGAGATTAATTGAAATAAAGCATTGCAACTCTTACAAGGCATAACTAACACAAATCCCTGAAAAGGACTTGATGAGTAAAAATATTACCAAGAAGGGTCTAATTAAATTACACACTAATCTTTACACACATGACAATTCATAAACCTACAAGTATTTTGCTTAATAGGCTGCAAAAATTGTATTGTACATTGTTTCTTTTGCAGAATTTCCTAAAGTTAGGTTTAGGGCTAAGCCTAATACTGATCTTAGAATATTTTTTAATGACTCTTTGACTTTTCCAGAATTTTATCCACCGTCGTTCCTCCACTTGATACAACAACAGATGACAGGTATTCAAATTTAATGACCACTTTATTTGTCAAAGCCTACTAAATGTATTCTTAAGTATTTAGTAATATAAAATATTACTAAATATTAAATACTAAATTGGATATAATTTTGCAGGACTTCATCTGCCATCCGTCCACCTCCCACTACAGACAGAAGGTATTGTCACATTTGATGCTATCAGTTCAAACTTCCCTTGACCCTATTCTTTCATTACTTTATTAAATAAGTGCATGACTTCTGTTAATCCAATTTTGTCGCAAATTCTCACCCACCACCAATCCACTTCTTACAAGATGTGACACATATTTTACCATTTTTAAAAATATATTAACTTATTTTTCATGGGAGCAACATTATGAAACTAAACATAGAAGCTGGAATTTTTCTGTGTTAAAGGGACAGTATTCTTAATATCTGTAAACTTTTGAATTTGAAGACACTACTGTCAACATTTTCTGAAAGGTAAAACTTCTCTGTATTCTGGCATTTGCCAATAATAAAAAATAATTACAACTGTCTCAGAAACATAAAATTTGGTCTGATTCAATGAGAAAGTGACATTTTAAGAACTATGTAAGGTATGTAACATCAGTAATGAGTCAGGTATTTATTTTTGTTTTGTACCTAAATGTTTGGATATAATTTTACAGGCCTTCATCTACTGTCCATCCACCTCCCACTACAGACAACAGGTATTGCCATTTTTGATACCATCATTTCAAACTTCCCTTGCCTCTATATGCAGAACATAAAATAAACAACGTGTTGCTATTGTTGCTATATGTATTTTGTTACAGCTAATAGCCTGAAAAGATTATTTTTGTTCAATTATGCTCTGGTCTTTGTAGAATCTCACCCACCATCCTTCCAAAACCTGATACAACAACACATGACAGGTATTCACAAATTTAATGCCTTTATTCAAGTTATTTGTCAAAACCATTTTTATAATTAGATAAGATGAAAAACATTGTGATTGTCAGTCAACCTAATAGGTTTTTATCTGTTTTTGCCAGTGTTCATGGCTCTGTGATAACATACTTTACAAACAAACACATTTATGTTTCAAGTCAAGTCACTATTGCCGATACAATTTATACCACACAGATACTTAGCACAAACATACATGGCATGCATGTTTTAGCTGTAAGTGCTGTGCATCAGATATACAGGCTGCTAAAAAATAAAATTGTAAAATAATCCTTTGACTTTTGTAGAATCCCATACACCATCATTTAAACATACCCAAATTTATGGGTATGTTTGTATGTGTAGAAATTATTGCAGTATTTCTATCTAGATGATCAAATTCAACTATTAAAAACTTTTAGAAGGCTAGTCAAGGTCCACAGCAGATAGGATAATTCAAAAATGACAATTAATTTTGTTTCTTAAATTATATTGCTATTATCAATAGGCAGCAAAAATTACATTGTGCAATAATGCTTTTACTTTTTCAGAATCTCAACCACAGTGATTCCACCACCTACTACGACTGATGACAGGTATTCCTAAATTTAATGACCATTTCATTTATCAAAGCCTTCAAGATGGTGCCTGTGATGGGTCATTCATATTTGTCTGTTGCTCTGTAAAGTGTTATTACTTTCGTTTCGGATGACATTTTATTTTTTTTTTCCAAAACAAGTTTTTTTATGTCATCACTGACAATTAATCCACCTTTTACAAACGTATCCAGATACTTTACCCATTCAAATGTTTTAAAACAAATCCAAAAACAATTTTGGCAATCTAAGCAAAAATGTCACACTTTTTAATAAATCAATCAATATCTGCAGTGCAATTCCAACTTAATATATAAACATTGAGCTTAACAATAAACCTTTGTCTCTAAGCTCAAAATGACTTAGTATTTTTAATTGGAAATGTATTTAATAGGGCTCCAAACTGTGACAATTTATTTAAAAATGTGATAGAAGCTACAGATATAGAAGTAAGCAGTCAAGAGAAACAAATAGCACTTATGCAAATGGTGTCTATACAGGAACTGCTTTCCATGGTGGCCCTCGCAAAGTCCAATGTTGATCGATTTAAAACTTAAGCAAATCAGCTTCAAAGTTCTACTTGATCATCTTCAGTGTTCACCTGGTTGTTGATAACTCCATACCTTCAAGGTGCAGCAAAACAACAGCATAAAGTTTTTAGTGTTGCACTTAACACGGCTGGTCAACTAAAACACAAAGATTTAGCACTTGTTTCTAAAGACAAATATGACTGGACACATACAGCTTTAGTTTTCCATAAAATAAATGTTTTTCTTTCTCTTGTAGCATTTTTTGCTTCAGTCCTGGTATGGTGGCCTCTCCCATCCTCACTGTCCTGCTGGCATTGATCCTTCTGCTGTCATAATGTACGCCTCCCAAATAATCCATCTGTCTCTGCATAGGCAGCAAAAATGATTAGAAATTTCTCAGAGCTATGCATATATGTTATGGTGAAGGTGCAAGTTGACATTTTGCCCTTAAATTGTGAATTCTTTGTTCAACGACAAACTGGGAAACTGTGTATTACCTTAAGAAATCAGCATAAATACACTGATTAGAAGCTAAACTTGTAGCTTCTATTCTACAATATTTGGTGATGGGACTTCATTTATATTAAACATGTATGTGCACATTTTTGAAGATTGCAGATTTTTGAAGTATAATATTCCTTTTATGATAACAGATACACTTATTCAAAGCTCTTGAATTTCTGAATTAGACCCAGAATATTCTGTTTGAAGATTACATCTTTTCACAAATATTTAACCACATGCTAATATATTTAAACATGGGTGCTTGGTGGCTTAATGGTAACGGACATGTTTTAACAAACATGACTTGTATTTTGGGTTGGGTTAAAATGTTTGGTTCGATGTGTGTTCACTTTTGGATGCCTTCATTGCTAATCTACAATGTGAAGCCTCAATAAAATACATAATATTGTTATTTTCACTCTGTCTAAGGCTCCCAACATTTTTGGACAGTTTGTATTAGAACTTTGATGTCATTCAAACTACATTGTGTACAATAAAGTGTGTAGTGGGTATAAATAAAAAAGAGACATTGTTCATTGAGAGCACGACAGCATTTATTTGTCTTTTTGCCTCAGCTCTTCTCTACGGAGCTCTATCATCTGTCGGTCACAACTTCGTCCTGAAGGAGATCCATCCAGGAGTTGCTGTTCATGTTGCTGAACATGACTCATTGTTAGTCATGTTCCCCTTCTTCTGTTCTCTGGTCAAAGTAATCAGATGTGATAGATATAATTATCGCAAATACTAATGTGGAAGTTATGTACACAAAATGAATGATTGAAGACAGACATATTACAGTTTTACAGTCGTTTCCTTAATTTACAGTGGCATTTTATCCACTCTCATTTAAAGTTTGAATAAAACTTATTTTATTCAAGTTTATTGTTCATTTCTATGTCCTGTACAATGAATAGTTTATAATTGTTTAATTAGAGAACTGATATCTAAACAAAGCTTTCCATTCTCTTCGCTGACACGACGTCGACAAAAATCAACTCATTCCTCATTGTTCCATCAAGCTGCTGCTGAAAATTGAAGTTTGATGCACAGAAAAGCCAGTGTCTCAACGTTCAACGCTTGCTTGTAGATTCAGAGCTTCTGTGAGAACTAACAGTGGAACTCGCTAAAAAAAATTAGATAATAAAATAAAGCAAAGAATATTTCTTGGATAACAAGGAGCTTCCCTTGTGAAGGTGCACACTGGGCTAAGAGTATACATGCCCAGAGTCCCACACAGCAGCTCTTAGTTGTGTTTAAGAAGAGGGTTCCCAGTATCAATGAGCACCAAGATTGTGTGGTTGATAGTGGACCCAAATGCAAAGAGGCAGAGGCAGCTTTTACAAAACATTTCGGTAGGGGAATAAAGGGAGTTGACTAGGCCAAACAGATGAAATCAGCAAAGAGTGTGAGGAGCAGAAGTGTTCAAGTATTATTTTATGAAAAAAAAAATACTAAAGATAATTTGCCAGATAATAATTAAAACTGAAATTGTTTGTTCTTAACATCAGCTGAATATTTAACTGCCCTGAAAATGTTTTTCAGAGTAGTTTCAATTCACAACAAATGAAACTACACCTCATCTGTTTTCGTGACAGATAAAGATCTTTGGAGGGAGTATTTTAATATTCAAATACTGATTTTCATGCTGTATGCAAAAGATCCAGAATAAATAAACTAAAGGAAGTAGCTTCACCTATTTATATATGCATATGGAAAAAGAATCCAACTTGGTATGAAACTCAAATGAGATGTAAATAAGGTTTTGTTTTTTTTTTGTGTTTTTTTACATGTTTTGTAAAAGAGTGTGTGCATGACAACAAAAGAGGAAAACAACAAAATGTTCAAAGTGTGGAATAACCTACTAGATTTTTGTTTCATAGTCTGCCTTCCCCCACTAGTAATATCGATATGATGCAAAAATTTACATACTGTGCAATGTTGCTTTGACTTTTGGAGAATCTTTCCAACAAACACTCCACCGACTATGACAGAGGGTGACAGGTATTGCTAGACTTAATGATTATCTTGTTTGAGAAAACCTTTTATGCCTGGTCTTAGATCAGTCAGCATATAATTTTAGCATTTTAATCTAGATAGTAAGGCTCATCATAAAATTCTAGGTATTTGAGATCCTTGATAGACTGCAGCAACTTTTCATAACCCAACAGAAAATAATGTGTGACAGCTGCAAAAGAAGAAGGCCTGCTACAATGATAAAATTAACCAAGTTGGATCATTGCTTTGAAATGATCTAACTTGTTTTGTAACAGAGGGAGATTTTAAAAGTCCTTCCTGTTTGTTTAGAATCTCATTTGAACAGATTATCAGCTTCTGAAAGTCTTCGAAGAGGTAGGAGATTAATTACTTATTTATGGAATCTAGTGAAAGTCATGCATGTTTAAATGTTAAAGTATTTTAACATTTAATTTCATCTAATGTGTTTTCTGTGAAGCTTAAAGTTAGATTTTATCCACAAAGCCAACATGAGGATGAAAGTCTACTTTTTTTTTTGGGTGCACCTTACACTTTCTTCAGGACTCTCCATCCCAAGAGTAAGTATATTTTTACAGACAGTATACTACAGTTTAAATGTCAAACGTAGAAATATATTCAAGATACAGTAACACCTGAAACAATATAAATTTTGTTTTACCTTGTTTGTCCATATGTTGCAATACCGTTCTCATTTTAATTCTTTTTGACTCCAGTTAGATGGAGAAATATTCGGTAAGTTTCATGCATTTTCTTTATACTACTCTGGATTTCACTATTGATTTTAAGTTTGTTTTTTTTATGGTAAAATGAATTTACAAAAAGCCTGTTTGTGTTTTAGAGGTTGAAAACAACACAACTAAAGAAGGTAAAGAGACTTTTCTTAACTTTTTATAAAAGCTTTTCTGAGATGTGTCTATGAATTGCTGTCCAACTCTCTGTTAAAATAACTAACATTGCTCCCTGATCTTAGATTTGACTCTTGACGACATCCGTGAGGTATGTTTTGGTATTACTATAAACGACTAACTGCAGTTTTTAGTACAGCATTTATGTAGGCATGTTGTCTTCTATTTTTATGCCCCACATTCTTCTTTGTTAGCCTCCAAAGTTTCAAAGGAGCAGCCTTCTTCCTGGAGATAAACTATGGTCATCCCCAGTTCCTTATGTCTTGGATAAAGGCCTGGGTGAATATTAGTTTTCTTTTATAGAAGACAATCTATACTCTGGGTAGTGTCTGTGTTTGCATGTGCAGCATCTGTGTAAAGGCCTCTACTTTTAAGTTTAATTGAGGTCTTCTCTTTATATTAAACTTGACTTCAGTTAGTTTTGGTTGTAAAGACATTAACCAAACAATTAAATGCCAACCCTTAAATTGATCAGGTTACACTGAGGGATGTTTGGGAGGGAGCAGGATATTGAAACAAGCATTAAAGCAATTCTGGAAAATATAAAATACTGCTTATGAGGGCAAAGACAAACAGAGAAGGAATCAGATTCTAGACAATGAAATAACCCATATAAATTGTCCTTGTTGGTTGGTTAATGTTAAAACATTGATCTGGATAAAATTTGATAATTGAACAAGAACTAGTTAAAGTTGGAGATGGAGATTTAGTCCAAATGATCTAGCTGGCAAACTATGAGCATAAATTAATTTATTTTAAGTTGACTGGACTGGATTTAGATACAGTTCATGTAAAGGATGAACTGGCACAATAATGGAAGCACTGGTCCAGTAGTTTTCTTTTTTCTTTTTTGGTTTGTTTTGAATTAATATTCTTGGTATTTATTGTTGTGTAATGTAACAGAAATGCTATGTTACATATTATCTTAAACATAATTACGTGTAACATAATTACCATTTTGAAATTCCTCTTGAAAGATTTGACAGCTAAAGGAGTGATCATGAGAGCCTTTGAGCAGTTCAGAGTGAAGTCATGCATTGATTTCAAACCCCGGGACTCAGAAGATTATTACATCAACATCCAGAAGTTAGACGGGTAATTTATTTTTATCTTATTTCGCTTACTTTCAACTAAACTTCTTCATTTTTCCTTTGCATGTAATTGAAACACGAACCTTGTATAATAGTGCAGCAGTTCAGTGTACAATAAAGTTTGGCCTGCCTGTCAGATTTCTTCATGTTTTCTTGAGTGTCTTTCGCCTCTTGTCAATATGACATTGTTGGTTAGACATAAGGGCTGCACAGTGGCGCAGTGTGTAGTGCTGTTGCCTTGCGGCCCAGGAACTTTCTGCACGAAGTTTGCATGTTCTCCCTGTGCGTGGGTTCTCTCTGGGTTTTCCGGCTTCCTCCCACAGTCCAAAAACATGACTGTCAGGTTGATTGGTCTTTCCAAATTCTCCTTAGGTGTGAGTGTGTGTGTGTGTGGTTGTTTGTCCTGTTTGTCTCTCTGTGTTGCCATGCGACAGACTGGCGACCTGTCCAGGGTGACCCCGCCTCTCGCCCGGAACGCAGCTGGAGATAGGCACCAGCACCTCCCGACCCCGTTAGGGAGAAGGGTGGTCAGAAAATGGATGGATGGATGGGTTAGAGATAAAAAAAACAATACGTGAATATTTGTGTTATTAGTTTAAACAAACTGTGCCTGCATTTTAAAATTGTATTGTTATATTGAGAGCAAGATTCATCTGAACAAATTGCTTGTGATTTTACGTCTCAACAAAACCTGGATAACGCCTTTCTCCCTTACAGTTGCTGGTCATATATTGGTCGAGTATTCTCCAATGGACAGGACCTCTCTATTGGTGCAGGCTGTGACAGCATTGCCATTGTTGAACATGAGCTTCTTCATGCTCTTGGTTTCTACCATGAACAGTCTAGATATGACAGAGATGATTATGTACGGATTGTACTCGCCAACATCCAAACAGGTAGAACACAGACTTTTTTGTGTTTTTTAGTCTGTTAAAATCTCTGATGAATTTAAGTAAGTTTTTCTCAGTGCAAAAATGTGTATTTTGTTTTGTCATCTAGGTAAAGAGAGGAATTTCATGAAAGTTGGCTGTAATGAGAGCACCATACACCATAGTATTTTTAAAGTGTAGCATGTTTTGTGTCACCCAGGTCAAGAGGATAATTTTGACAAGGCTAGCAGTGAGGAGAGCACTACATATGGAGTCCCATATGACTACATGTCAGTGATGCACTATGACAAATATGCATTCACAAATGGCAACGGCTTAACAATTATTACCATTGACCCTAAATACCAAGATGTGATTGGTCAAAGGCTGGAAATGAGTCCTAGTGATGCTCTAGAGCTGAACTTCCGCTACAACTGCAGTAAGTCTTGAAACATTGTTAAACCTGCTATAAATTGATTGTTTAATTTGCTGTGGTCAAATTATAATTTCTGTCATAACTTCTGTACTTTTTGACAAGCTGCTATGCTTAACATTTGACTTTTGTTTGTATTTTTTAACATATTTCTATGTCGAAACCAAAGGGTGCAGTAAATTCATCTTTCCTGTAAAATAAGCTACAAGTGAAATCTCAATATGTGAACATGGACATGTAATGGACATGTACATGTCCATGTAATATAAACCCCCTTTGGTTGGGGATCCTTTTGGTTGTGATCAGCCTGCAGGTTTGCTGAGGTGTTTAATGCTTGTTGCTTTAACAGTGGCCTCCATCTGGTCTGCATTGTTAACTGTGGTGTCAGTCATCTTCTTAGCAGTACTCACCTGTGCTATTTAAGCCAGCTGAATTTGTTACATGATCAAACCCACATGTCAGTATTTGCTAGGAAAGTAAATCTGCATTTCCACATAGTTTGTCAGCAGAAGGAAGAATGCAGAAACGTCCTGGTAGGTGATTGTTTTGACTTCAGTGTAGATAAAACACAATGGACTGACACCAGAAGATAAATTGTCACTTACAGTGAAAACTTCCCACTGGACCTCAGATAAATTAGATTCTGGTTTGACTCTCTCCACTCTTCTTCGAGACTTGGAAATCTTAATTTAGCTGTGGGAATCCTGATTGTTTGCGCACCGCCTTCTGCCACTTTTGTTCTTTCATTCCATTTATCAATAAAATACTTGAATACAACAAAGGCAGCTGCTTTGTCAATGGCATTCTGTGGTTTAACATGTTGTGTGGAAATTATCTTTTACTGGTAGAAAACCATCAAGCCAGCAATCATTGCCTTAATTCTGGAGGCCATAAAATATCATTGCACAGATTTTGATTGAAATGGTTAGAATTGGAGTTAATAATCTAATACAAAAATGTTTTTGTGGAATTTTTTGGTTTCTGGCACTATTGCATGATTAAACACTTCCCGGGTCAAATTTACCCAGAAACAGGATTGGTGTACCTCAGAAACTAACATAACAGGAAGGTTAAACAGTCAGAAAAATGATCAAAAATTGTACTTGAAATATGCAATATATTGTTTATATTGTAAATTTATTTGACGTTAAATTATTTAATTTACTTAATCAAATAAAGAAGTAATTCTTTGATATCTTAATTCAGTGAGATGCACAAGTAAACTCAGGTCAAAAACTGTCGAACCCATAGATTAACTTTTGGAGTTGTTAATAACAATATGTTGTCATATTTAAAAAATATATATAATTTTGAAAAAGCTTAGCCGAGACTTGCATTTAAGTATTGCATAAAAATGAAAATCTTAGATTCTTCTTTTTTGCCATTTTAGAGTCAACTGTTGCCTTTAATTCTTACTGTGGCTTTTCGAGTGGAACAATGTGTCAAATGAGCCGCTGCTCACAGGGTGGGATTGGCTGGGAAGTCGTTACTAAAGTTCATGGAGGCCCCAGTTCTGACCACACCAGTCTACCAAGTGGAAATGGAGATAATGGTGAGATTTGTGCCTTGTATATTATGGCTATTTGCCCCTTGTGCCTTTGAAGAGTAATATATGTAATTTAACTGTTTGGTATTTTTGCTGAGTTACTTTTTCAGTTTTTTATATATAAACTGACAATTGTCTATAACTCTGTCTAAAGTGCTGCTCATGAGCAATGAAGAGTTGTTTTTTTAAGTCTGGTGTGACATGCCACTTCTTGCACAATGGCAGGTCAGCCATTACAATTTTCAGTGACTCTGTGCATAAAGCAGTGTTTCTCAACTGCAGTCCTCATGGACTAGTGTCCTGCATAGCTTAGACATGTTTCTGTTCCAGAACAGCTGATTCAAATAATTAGATGGCCTGCTCAGCATGCCATCAAGTGTTGTAGAAGCCTGTTAATCACCCACTTATTGAAGTTAGGTGTGTTGCAGAAGAGAAACACTTAAAACATGCAGAGCAGTGGTCCCTGAGGACTGGAATTGAGAAACACTGGCATCAAGTGAGATGAATGTGTCTCCAGATCAGCTGTTTTTCTTACCACTCTGAGTTGCACATGTCCTAAAATGTTCCTCTTATGCCTGGATTATAAGATACTTTGTCAAAATATTAACCAAACACTGTTATTGCAGTTTCCTTCCTATTAGTGGACTAACAAAATGTCCAGACAAAAGAGTATTCAAACTGGACAAACAGAAATAAAATGAAATAAATATATTTTTAGACAATTATAAAGAACACTTTATTGAGATAGTGGAGCAAACAGCACAATATTAAACACTGCTTATGTTAGTATATTATAATTATTTGGCTTTCATGGTGTTTTGTGCTATATTAAATTATGCTTTTCATTTAGGCAAAGGTGAGTCTTGCAATCTTTGGAAACTATTGTCAATAATTAAACGCTACCCTTCTTATTGCAGATTTTTTTAGGTTCATCGGTAATAATGTCTAGTAGATATTTTTAGATCTTCATCAAAAAAAGTCATTATTTTAGAAAGTTAGTTTCAAATGTTTATTATTATTATTATTATTATTATTATTTATTTATTTATTTATTTATTTAAAAGTGAAACAGAGCTAGAATATTGAAATAATTTGTCAAAAAAACAAATTGACATTTTTTTAAGGTGCTGGAAATACAAATTTGGTTTAGACTTTCAATATTAAAAAAAACAAAAACGTGCCTTTCTAAATCACCTTTGAGAAATCAATTGTTTTAGAAATAATACATTTGAAATGATCGTCACCTAAAAAGAAACAATCCTTCTTTAAGAGCCATAAATATAAATATTACGTGAGGATGACTTCCACTTAATATTCCATCAATTTTACTGCAAATCTGAGTGATATTTACCAAAGTTATGGAAACATAATTTCTGCCTGAGCATATAAAAATATATTGAGTTGTCTATAATTATAACATAGATGTAGGTGATTTATGGGAATCATCTTGATCAACGTATTTGCAGGTAAAGAAACTGGGTACTTCATTCATGTGAGCACAACATCAGGACAAAAGGGAGATTCAGCGCGAATGGAAACCGAAAGAGTGAAGCCTACCAGGGCATGTAATGTCCAGTGTCTGCAGTTCTACTATTTCCACAAAGGAAAAGAGTCAGATGTACTTAATATCTGGATCAGAGAGTTTCAAAATGAGCAGCACACCACAGGAACTCTTCGCCTTATGGGACAAATAACTGGTGAAGTCAGACTTAAAATAAAAAATCTTAAGTTTTTGCTTTCTACTATTGCATGTTGTAATATTGAAAGTGTATAGAATAGTAAATTAAAACCTCTTACTCTAGGTTCACCAACATCTCACTGGAAACTCCACCATGTTTCCTTGAATGCCACCAAGGACTTCCAGGTGGTGTTTGAGGTTCGGAAAGGAGCAGGAAACTCACCAGGAGGTTTCTCAATTGATGACATCAATCTCTCAGAGACAGAGTGTCCACACTTTGCCTGGCAGATTGATGACTTTGAGAGTCTTTTAAACACAAGCAGTTATGGAGTCTTAATGTACAGCCCACGACAATTCTCCAAAGACGGCTATGCATACCGTGTAATTGCTGGACTTTTCAAAACATCTGTTGGAATGTACGTGCAGCTCGTGTCTAGTGAGAATGATGGCCAGCTGCAATATCCTTGTCTGCAAAGACATATGATTTTCCAGTTGATGGATCAAACCCCGAACAAGCAACTGCAAATGTCCAAGCAAAATACTTTTGTTTCTGATGAAAATCAAGTAGTATCTGGTAAGTTTATCTTAAAATGTTTGTATTTTGAAGAAAAGTTGTTGGTAAAAAACTAACACATATTCTCATGTATCGTGTGTCATGTGAACAGGTCGCTCTGCCTGGGACAATCCTAGGAAGACTAAATATGGATCATTTTCTGAGAATGGAGAACTAATCTATAATGGGCCTGGCTGGGGGTTTGGGTCTTTTTTAACATTAGAAGAATTGAAATCCAGAGAGTTCCTCAAGGGAGGAAGCGTCATTTTGATGTTCAACTTTGAAGGTAGGTGAAATGTTTTGATTAAAATAATTTTGTAAACTACAGATAATGTTTTTCTCATTTACAATTTTTGGGGACACAAAGAATCAAAGAATCCTTGATGTCTGATATATAATTTCATATTTTTACCCTCACAAAAAACGTGTTTGCTGTCATTCAGACCAGCTGTTTTGAAAAGACTGATAATCACAGTTAATGATGCATTGCATTATGTAAATTGTGTTACTTGTTAACTTCAAATTAACATTGTGCAACATTTTGCACAATGTTCACAAGGTGGGAGTGGAGGAAAGAACTTATAGCTGGAAAGTTCTAATTATTCTAACTTCATCAGTCAGTATTTGTTTTTTCTAACTGATCGTTTTGTCCTTTGATAGATCTCACCCCACTAATCAATGGAACAGCTTTACCATGTCCTCAGTTAAGACCAGTGAACATAACAAATCCTCCACCAAATAGGAATGAAAGTCCATGCTCTGCAGGGTAAAAACAAATCGTCAAGTAATGCCTTTTAAGTTGTACTTGGTCCTCCTCAGTGCTCACCTGATTGTTGATAACCTTCAAAGTGGAGTAAAATAACAGGGTGAATTTTACTAGTACTGCACTTAGCATGGTAGGTCAACACATAGCTTCATTTCTTGTTTCTAAATATGACTGGACACATACAACTTCAGTTTTCAATTAAATTAGTGTCTGATTTTAGGAAAAAAAAATTTATTTATTAAGAGGGAACAGATCCTCACTACATCACCATTGAAAATGTTATTAGCTAAATTACAGAATTTGATATTGCATTAGAATTAAATTATATTAATGACTTTAATACTTATTTAATTAAACTTAAAACAGGATGACTGAATTGATGTATATTCTCAGGATGTTTTTCTTTCTCTTATAGCATTTTTTCCTTCTGTCCTGGTATGGTGGCCTCTCCCATCCTCTCTGTTCTCCTGGCGTTTATCCTTCTGCTGTCATGATGCACGCCTCCCAAATAAACCTCCATAGGCAGCAAAAATGATTATAAATTTCTCCCAGCTATGCATATATGTTATAATGACAATGTGAAAGTTGTGAACTCTTTGTGCAACAACAAATAGGGAAGCTTAGTATTACTTTAAGATATTAGCTTATTTTTAAAGTAATATCTAACTTTGTAGCTTCTATTCAACAATATTTGGAGATGGGACTTTATTTTTATTAAATATTTGCCTGCAGATTATTGAAGATTTCTGCAAAACCTGATTGAAGTATGATTTTGTTTTTATAACTACTACACCTATTCAAAGCTATATATTTAAACATGGGTGCTTGGTAGATTAATGGTAAAGGACATGTTTTAATTAGATATGTGTGATCTTTAGCTTTGCAAAAGCTAAACGAGTAAATTAAGCTGAAAAAAATCCAAATTAGTCATATGTTGTATCTTTTTATCAAACACATTTGAGATTTTATTTTCACTGCACACACACAAAAGAAATCTAATAATTTCTTCCCCATTATGTAACGATGATGTAATTCTTTTTTCTATTATTGTCCTCATTTATACTTTTGTACAGTGAGTTAATTGGATTTTATTTGAAGGATACATATAAGCAAATATCAATAAACACCTACTAAAAAAACTTAATTTTATTCAGAGTTCATCACATTCTCTATAACCTGTGTCAGACGTGAACTCAAGAAAACTAAATGTACAAAATATTAGTTTAAGTTCGTGCACATGGAGTATATGCAGCCAGTTCAATAAAACTCTATAGTTTCCTTTTAATGCCTTTGATATGGATGTGCAATTCAAAAAGGAAAACCTGGCATGTTAACAGGAGTACATTTTGGGACTGTATTTAGGGTTACTTGCTTTGGAGACCATTTCAAGTCATTCAAATCTTTGAATCTGCACTTCAAATCTAAATAGAAACAGTTTCATTCTATCAATTAACAATTTATTAAGATATATAACTGAATTACATTACTAGGAATAGAATTTCTGTGTAAAACAAAAACAGATTCAGAACTTGCTGGAATATATATTCCAGCAAGTATTGCAAATAATTCATAAATGAAGAGTATTGGGGAAAATAGATTACTGCAGAGCCAGCTCAGAATTCTTTAGCTCTGCTAAAACTTCAAGCTTTAGGAAAAGAAAATATCAAAGCCTAATTTTAGTATCAATTCCAACAGACACTGGTTTCCAATATTAATGATTTGCTTTATGTGCAATGATATTAAATAAATATAATGAAATTCACATAAAAATGTAAAAGAAATTGCTTTATTGTACAGAGGCTATCAAGTCTATTCTGATTTTAGACACAAGTCTACAATTATTTTTTTCTTGAACAATCTGCAATAATCAGAACACAAGCTGCTGCAACATCCACAATCCTGAGGAAAAGTTTTGAACCATTTCTTATTGTATTATAATTCCCTTTTAAAGGAGTCAGATCCTTGTGATCTCTATTAATACCTCTCCAGTCTTCCTGAAGGTTTTTCTTTCAACCATCACTGCTTTTTAACTTCTTTCCAAAAGAAATCTACAGAAAGACCAGAAGGCTGTGGAATATGACCATTTCATTAGATTACAAGAAAGTCTAGTTGCTTAGAAGAAAAATATAGAAAACTTTAGAAAGGAAATGGGATTCATCCCAAAAAATATGTACAACAATGTGTTCCTGCATAATAGGAAAAGCCTAAAGTGAAAAAAAGTGGTAAAGAATGTCTCTGAGGAGTAACATGGCTGTTAAACACTGATTAATAGCAAGAGGTTTTTTATTTTCTTGACTCAACCAGTACAAAGCTGATTTGGGTCATGTCCTCTTGTATTTCACTGCCTACTTCTCTTGCCTACAAGACTGTTTGCGTGGAGTCAGTGGTGCTGTTTGTGTTGGATTTTTGCTCTGTATTCACTGAACTCACTGCCGCCTGATCCACTCTGTTGGTATTTTCACCGTTCATCGCTGGTTGGCGATCTGGTTGGGCGGCAGTGGTCGGTGGGGGTGAAACCACCACCCTCTCAATGGGCTCATTGGGTGTTCTATCTGTCACAATGAGGTAATTCGGCTCAGGCTGGAGAGCGCTGGAGCGGCGCTGCAGTGCATGCTGGGTACATGAGAAAGAGCGCTGCCGGGGGGCTGGCTGGGGAGAGAGGAAGTGAGGTGTAGTGGCTCGGGAGTTTTCGTGATGCCGGTCACGATCCTCATCTTCTGATGTCACCTCCTGTAAGGTACTGATTGGCCGAGGGGAACGACCCATGACTCTTGGAGGAACGAGTGCTGTGGCTGATTGATTGAGCTGGGGTCTCCAGTTCTGGGGCGGTGGATACTGCATTCGGCCCATTGACCAATCACTGGCAACAAAGAAAAGTGAAAACATGATCAAATTGATGAAGGCATCAAAGAATTATGGTGAACAACTTGAATTAAGAAAAAGAGAATGCTTAATCTCCATTGTATGGCTGAAAACATCGCGCAATGTAAGGGTTCCATATCAGTCGATTTTGATAATTTTTGATTTGCTTTTTGTTTTTCCTCTCAAGCTGTTGTAATCATTCTCTCCTTTCTCTCCACCTCGTTCTTTTTATTTTCAAGCAGTTATGAGGCGGCGAAACATGCAACTGCTGCTGCGCAAGTAACTCAACAGGTGGTTGCAAGGTAACCAAAGAGAGAGTGAGTTAGTAAATCTAACCAACCTGAACCTTGCTTTGCTGACCAAAGTTAGACGTCTAAAGCTTTTCCTCTACCTATGTCCCCCAGAATGCTGTACGATTCTGAATTGGAGTTCAATGAAATTATTGACTATTGCATCAGACATTCCAGTTCTACATCAAACTGACCACAACCATTTTCTGAAATAGTTTGATCATTCATTTGATCATTGTTTAGTTAGTCTGACAAAATGATTATGATGTGTTTGAGTCAAATTTCTGAAAGCTTACCTCTGAGGCGGTGAGGTCATGTCTCGATGGGCTATCATCCCAGAGAATGAGGCGCTTCTTCCAGGGAGACCCTGAGAACTGACCCACGGTGAGTACATTAGAGCACGCTCCTCCCACATCACATCGCTGGCTGTGTTAACAGGAACAGGCCCTCTCTGGATCTGGTGAGCCAGTAAGAGCTCCAGGACCTGATGGTGCATGGCCTCTCTGGCCACATCGATTGGACGACGGCCCCTTCGGTCATGCAGCTCCAGGTTGGCACCATGAAGCAGGAGAAGCCTGGAAGTGTCGTAGCAGCCATGGAGGGAGGAGAGGAAGAGCGCTGTCTCACCCTAACAGAAAAAAAAAATTGTACAAGAAACTGTACTCAAAATCATTTATTACCTATAATCTTTTGATGATAACATTCTAAATTGATTCAGTGCCTTTCAAAAACATTAATAACCCTTCAATTTTCAGACATTCTGCCAACTTACAGCCACAAACCAAAAAAAACTGGTTTCACTGAATTTTATTTAGGGGTAGCTAACTATAGCTATAGAATTAAAATCAATATTGAAACACATTTTCAAACAAATTTGCACAAAGATGCTCAAATCTTTTGTACAACTTCTCATTTGTCCCCTAATTTGCAGTTTGTGGTGTAAGTGTGAAACAAATCCCTCAAAAAAAGAAAAAAAAATTATATATATAAATATGTATATATATATATATATATATATATATATATATATATATATATATATATATATATATATATATATATAATATATTAAAGATTGCAGCTATCACATAAAAAATGTGCAAAGGTTTAACATAAAGCTTAGTCACATACCTTGTTGTCTTGTAGGTCCACAGCAGCTCCATAGCGAATGAGGGTCCTTGCTAGGGAGAGGTGATTTACTGAGCATGCCCAGTGTAGGGCTGATCTCCCTGAGAGACAAGTGTGAGTGAAGGGGAGGTGAGGGAGTAAGTCAGCCAGTGAACAACCATTACACAACAGAGTTAAGCCCAGATGGTAAGAAGATGGGGGATGAAGAGGGAGGACACCTCTAATTAAGAAAGGAAGGGGGTGAAGAGACAGGAGGACAGAGGGTAGAAGACAAAGAAAAGGACAGAAGAGCTGAAGCAAGGAGAAAGATTAACCACAAAGCTAATATATCCATCAACACAAGAATATTAACTTTGTTCTGAGTCAGAAGAAGAGAGTAGGGGAGCTGGAGAAGGACAGGTAGGAGGGACAGAAGGGACACAAAAAGAGGATGTGAGAGAGACGGGGTAAGTCACAAGTTACTCGACCCCCTCAGTGTCAGAAAAAGATGATTGTGAATTACACCCGTTTGGCATAAACTCTCCACATGAAGACTGGGGGCTGAGGTACATTGTCTAGACTAACTAGTGATGTCGTCACAGGAAGCATTACCAGTATGATCTGTGTTGTTCACTGGAACTCCAGCTTGCAACAGTTCCAGAACAACTCTGTCCAGCCCACTGCGCACAGCTCGGATCAGAACCACAGACCCATCGGGACCACACCACTCTGCCGACTGCCAACAGAACATTACTAGGATAAACTACACTCACAATACACATTTGGTTTTTAGCTTCACTACTCGGAATGACTGACCTGCTGGGGGGGACTGAGCAAAGGAGGAGGCATGGCATTCCTTTCCCATCCTCTAGGTGGAGCTGTTTAAAAGAAAGTTCAGAATGAGTGATGCTAAATTCAAATGGGAAAAATAAAAGGCATGTGAATCTTAAAAGCAACATTTTCTTGAAAAAAATAAGCTTTATGCAAGGTCCCATATGATTACTGTAGGGACTATGTGTGTGTACTATTTTTTGCAAAGAAGTGTTTACATTTTATATATTTATAAATTCACAACTATAGTGATGAGGAATTATACTTTTATACTTACTTAGGGCATAAACTTTGGGCTAAATTCAACCTCAAGTAGAAAAGAAAGTACACAACAGATATATTCTAATTTGAAGTAAACCTGGAAAACTAAAACCTCTTCTGCTCTTGTTGGATTCAAAAGTTACTAAAAGCTTTTAACTAGTGGAAAACATTTAGTTTTGAATCCTTCTGGCAAATTCGCTCCAAGAGCAGAGCAAGCAGTCATGATTGTGTTTTTTTCATTTCAAAAATATGATAAAAACATGACAATAACTTCACTTTAGGTGCTGTAGATTTAAGGTAGCATCTTGAATGTTGAATTTATTGTCAAGACAGTTAGCAAAACATTCCAGGAGAAGTTGTATTCTTTCTAAAACGAATTACGTTGTATTGGCCTGCGGGTTTGAGCGGCTCCGGGCCGGAAGTGTCTCTGGTCCGCGGTCCTGTGGTCACAGATGGATGGGTCATCCTGTCGCCTGGAGCATCTTATGTTGATGTCCTCCATTGAGCTTTGGGTAAAATCTGTGTCACTTCCTGGCTCTTGGTCCCTTTTCAAAGGCCTGTAAGCAAAGATAGTATTTTGAAATCATATTTTTCCAATATATCTTGTTACAATTTGTTCGTTAGTTTTCCTTTTTAATCACTTCTTTATCTGCAAGTGCTCAGGGAACTCTGCACCACATGTACAGTAAATGTTTGGGTTGTTGTGTTGATTTTGGGAGATATAAACACCCAGCAACTACAGGGACAAATTCCCATTAAAAAAAATACAATAATTATCAACTTTCTTTAGAAGATATTTTTGACCACTGGTATGCATTCGAAAGCTCTATAATCATATATTAAGCTGTTCTGTTTGCCTTGATTATTGACTATTTATCAAAGCTATTTGAGATCAGTTCTGTAGTTTTTAATTGAATTGATCCTAAGAAAGTAAAAGATACAATTATGTCACCATTGAAAAAAATGTTTTAGTACGTTTAAGGACACTTGTAATAAATCTAGATTTTTCATAAAAATAAAGCTTTTCTTTCTTTCTGTTTCTATGTTAAGTGGTTTACTTTATTTCCATTCAATTCAATAATATTAATTACAAGAATTTGTCAACCTTGTGGTTGAGTGATTATTAATAATTTTCACATGGCTCTTTCAAACAGAGGGCTAACAAGATAAATTTCTACAAAATAATAAATCAACAACCGAGTTGATTTATTGCTATATATGACCATATTCAGACGCCACCTTGAACAATTCATCTTAATGTGGAGTATTGACCGTTCTTTTGGCTACCCCAGATGATGGAGCTCCTCCAGCAGACACTA